CCTCCATGGTTCTTTCAGGTAAGGCAGATGCACAGGTTGTGCTGACCCAGCTTCAGCAGGACACGGGTGAATTATAGGTCCTCAAAGCTCTGCTGAGGGCACCAATTTCCATCCCAGAGAAATGGAAAGCCTTGGCCAGCCAAGCCTTTTGAGTTCTATGCAAACGGTATGGTTATCATCTTGTTCACATCTTGTCCTTAGAGTTAAATAGAAATGGTCCCAGACAAGTGCTCTCTTGGTATCATTCTTTTATATTTCATATTCTGTGAAGCATTGTGCAGATGGCTGAAGTGACTGATTGTTTCGGTGATTGGATAAAAGTACTGGGATGTAAGCTCATCTTTTGCAGGCTCACTGAAAGCATCTTTGGGAAAATTCCAGCAATAGGCAGGATAACAGCAATTATATGCCTCATCTGGTTGCCACATCATTTTGATTTCTTCTACTAGGGGACTATATTTTGAAGTTTTTTTTTTATTTCACATAGTTTGGGCATTTTGAGGATTTAGTATGGCAATATCGATTAAAATACCTTTTCAAAATGTTTATGGATCAAAGTAATATCCAGATGATTATGGGCAGCAGTTTAGACTGCTCCCCATGTTCCAGTTCTAGTACATTATTTCTTGAATAATATTAGTTGGCATTATTTCTTGAATAATATTTTATTTTTCCTCCATTACAAGATAACTTTTGCATTTAGTTTTTTAAAAATTTTGAGTTCCGGGGCAGCCAGGTGGTGCAGTGGATAAAGCACCAGCCCTGGAGTCAGGAGGACCTGAATTCAATACATAACATTCACTAGCTGTGTGACTCTGGGCAAGTCACTGAACCCCAATTGCCCTCACCCAAAAAAAAATTGATTTCCAAATTCTTTCCATCCCTCCACTCCCTTCCTCTCTCCCTGAGACAGTAAGCAATTTGATATAGGTTATACATGTGCAATCAGGTAAAACATTTAATCTCCATTATTAACACTTTCTTAGGTCTAGAATATCAACAAAACAATAAATTAAGCCCTGACTTGGGGTGACTGCTAATTTCTTAAGTGTAAATGCTCACACTGACAATTTAACAATCAGCTCTCTGAAATTGGTTCCAGCACACGTTGGAGCCTTTTCATCTGACCTAAGCTGAGCTTCTTTTTATGTGTCATCTTCCCCAATTACAGGGTGAGCTCCCAGAGGCTTTGATTTTTTTTTTTCTATTTGTGTTCCCAGCACTTAGCATAGTACTTGGCATACAGTAAGTGATTAATAAATGGGCTTTCATTCCTTCATTCATTCAACGTTTATTAATAGTTGATTGTGTCAAAGCACTGTGCCAGGTGCAAAGGGTATAGAAATAGATCTTACAAAAGCTCTGTTCTCATGGACTGTATGGTTTAATCTAAGGGTGGAAAAGAACATTAATAAGTGTGAGAAGTGGAAGAGTGAGATAAATGCAGAGGAGAGGACCAGACAATCACCTCTTGAAAATTCACCCATGGAAGAAGGCATTCCAGTAGAGTAGAAAGAATGCTGGCTTTGGAGTCAAAAGACTGTTCAAATCCTGTCTCTTGTCACTTACGTCCTGTGTGAATTTGGACAAATAAGTCCTCTGGGCTTCAGTTTTGTTATCTGTAAAGTTATCTCTAAGCTATAAACCCGGTGATCTTATATGAACAAGTGTCTGGAACTAGGTCCCAGAAGGTATACCAAGCTATTGTTTTTTTCCAACCAGGAACCCTTCAGTGAGGTAAGAAAGGTCCTGTATTATGTACAGAGAAGTCAAAAAGATAAGGTGCTTCCTAGCTGAGATCCAGGCTGAATCTCTATGTGCCTCAAGCATCTCTAATTCTAGAACATATCTAGTTTTGCTTTGTTACTTATATGCCATTTTGTGTCACTATCTGACCTTGCATAAGTCACTTAATCTCTATGGGCCTCAGTTTCCTTATCTGTAAAATAAGGGGATAGGACCAGGTGACTTTTAATTCTACAATTATAATTTTCATTGGTGGAGAGAATTTCCACAGTGGGACTTCCTTCATGCTAAGGAAATCACAAATACTTTGTGTATTTGTGTACATGCAAAAAAAATGATTCTTGGTTCTGGGAGATGACTAAAACCTGGTGCTTTCCTAATCTCAACGAGTTTATAGTCTAGAAGGGAGAGATAAGACAGTATGCTGATAAGTACAATAAAAATGAAAGTAAGTATATACAGGAATATTAACAGCCATAAAATCAGGACAAGGGAGAGAGCTCTTCCAGTTGTGGGGAATCCCTTCCTGCTGGTACATCTCTTAACCTGCCTAGCATGGAGAGACCAGTGTGTTCTAGTGGGCATTAGGCCCAGAGGCCAGGGACCAGGGTTTTAGTTGTATGGTTTCAAATTCTTAAGTCATATTATCATCAAATCAGATATTATCATATTATTTCATAATCCCCATCTTGTAGAGGGGGAACCTGAAAATCCAAGGAAGTGTCCTGACTTGCCCAAGGATACAGAACTTGGTTCTAGTAGCAAAGTCAGACCTAGAATCTGATCTCCTGACTCCTAGACACAGCATGAGGTTTGGAAAGCTGCCTATGTGGTATGAGGCTCCTCTAATGGGTTCCTCTATTAGTCTACCACCAGAACCAAACCTTAGGCAAAATGGGGATAATAAAATCGTTTCCACTCTTCTCCTCTTTTCTCTCTTCTTCTTCTTCTTCTTCTTCTTCTTCTTCTCTTCTTCTTCTTCTTCTTTTCTTCATCTTCTTCTCCTCCTCCTCTTCTTCTTCTCCTCTTCCTCCTCCTCCTCTTCCTCCTCCTCCTCTTCCTCCTCCTCTTCTTCTTCTCCTCCTCCTCCTCCTCCTCTTTTCTCTCTTCTTCTTCTTCTTCTCTTCTTCTTCTTCTTCTTCTTCTTCTTCTTCTTCTTCTCTTCTTCTTCTTCTTCTTCTTCTTCTTCTTCTTCTTCTTTTCTCTCTCTTCCCCTCCACCTTAGAATCAGCACTTGAATCCAGGTCTTCCAAAGTAAGGTTATCCTTCTATCTATTGTGCCATGTTGCCTCTTTTGTGAGCTCATAGAACAGATAAAAGTCGAGTTCGGGGACTCCTAGGGGGAATGTTGCTTTCACTATCTCTTTCCTGAGTCCCCCGGCTAGATCTGATGCCATCCCTAACTACTTTGAACCTCATAACACTTTCTTTCCACCCCTCTTACTACACCCTCTCCTTCTTACTATGACCTCTTTTTTTCCTCTATAAAATGTTTTTTTCTCCTCTATAAAATGAGGGGGTCAAGTAGCGGAAAGAGTCCTGGATCCAGGGTAGCCAAATTCAAGGTTCAAAAAATTCATGCTCTGGTACTTACTATGTGACCTCAGACAAGTTATTTAACCTTAGTTTCCTCCTCTGTAAAATGAAGGGGTTGGACAAGGTGACTTCCCAGGCCTCTTCCAGCTCTCAATCAATCTATGATGCTTATTTGTCCACAGGTCTTAATTTCCCTACTAAACTCCCTGAGGGCAAGTGCTATGCCATTCTTAATAGCTGTCTCCCCAGAAAAGCCAGGCACACACCTTTGCTCTTCTCAGTAAATATTTGTTGAGTTGAATTGACTAAGGTTTCAGAGCATCGGGCCCTTTCTACAACTCATTGTCTGAAGACCTAAAAAGTGTTTGGGGAAGATAGAAATAAGCCAGAAATTCCCCTCATCCCCACTCCGCCCCTTAATGAAATAGGTCTCCACAGCTCCATTTTCTCTGGCTGTTCCGGGTGCCTGGAATACTCTCTCTCCTCTGTGACTATTAACGTTTCTGGCTTCCTTTGAAGTTACCAACTAAAATCTCACCTTTAACTGGGAGCCTTCCCCAAACCCTCTCAATCCTAGGGCCTTCCTTCTGTTATATCCTATTTACCCTGTACTGTATACATAGCCTACTTTGTATATATTTGTTTGCCCAGTCTCCCCCATTACACTGTACGCTTCTCGAGGGCAGGGGCAGTCTTTTGCCTCTTTTTGCATCCTAAACCCTTAGCATAGTGCCTGACACGTAGTACCCTAACAAATGTTTACCAATTGATTGAATATGTGCCCAGGAATGGGGAACCCGCAGCTTCAAAGCTATATGTGACCCTCTAAGTCCTCAGGAATGGTCCTTTGACTGGACCCAAACTCTATAGAACAAACCCTTTAGCAAAAGGATTTGTTCTGTAAAACTTGAACAAAAGGCGAACCCAAGGACCTAGAAGGCCACATGTGGCCTCGAGGCTGCAGGTTCCCCACCCCTGGTTACTTCCCTGTTGCCTCAGTTTCCTTATCTATAAAATGAACCTACTACATAATCTATATAAAGTATAATAACACCTACCTCCCAGGACTATAATGAAGATCAAAAGAAAATAATTGTAAGCACTTAATGAATCTTTTTGACTGCTTGCCTTCCATCAAGATATAGGTTCTGACCCTACTAACAGATACATTTGAAGTCCTCCCATTCCACCCGAGGGGCCGGGACGGGGAATGAGGAGGGACCTCAAGGTCTGACCAGCGCTTAGCGCCGCCGTGGCGGAGACTGGACCCGGAGCCACCGGGCTTACGCACACGCACGCGCACCCCGGCGCGCACCTCCAGACCCACGCGCACGCGCCCCCTCCATCCTTAGCTTTCCTTCGGGCTCATTCACGCTTTTGAGCAGAGCCCGACCCCACGCGCCCACTTGGCCCTCCCAGCTCCGGCAGAGGTTCCCAGGGCAGTAGAGCGCGCGGCACCGTGCGCCCCGGGAGCTAACTGTTGCCGGCTCCTCCGCTAGCCCGGAGCGCCCAAGGCTCAGGGACGCGGAGGCGAGGAGGGTCCGGAGGGGCAGGGCGCGGGAGAGCGCGCGAGCGCGCAAGGCCGCCCAGCTCGGGCACTGACGCCCGGCCCGCAGGCCGGCCCCCTCACGGAGGCGGCGGCCAATGGGCCGGCTCGCTGGGGCCGAGCCTCCTCCAAGCCTTCCCCTGCGTTCCCAGGGCTAGTCTCCCCGCGGTCATGTGACGGCCATATAGTACTACTCTCGCTCGGCTAAAGGACACATCAGCAGCGCCGGCTGCTGCCTTTGCACGGCCGCCCGCCTGCCCCCTCGGGCCGCCCGCTTGCCTGCCTCCCTCCGCCCCGCCCGAGCGAGCCAGCTCTCTCTAGTTCAAGGGCACCGGGCCCGGCTGTGCTTGCCTTGCCCGCAAAGTTGCTCATTTCATAGTCTTCAGACGGGATTGGTTTTCTGTTTTTTTTCCCCTTTTGGGGGGGGTAGTGTGTTGTCTTTTTTCCATCCAAAAAGGAGCTCCCTCGAATTCGGAATTGGATTGGTGGAACCCCCTCTTTTTGGGGTGCATCCCCCCTGCGCCAAACCCCATTTTGATTCTTCTCCAATCCCTTAAAATTCTCACGGTGCGGAAAGTTCAGGTAGGAAAAGGTGTTGGGGTGGGGGGAGGGGAGAGGTTGGGATCAAATTGGGGAGACGGACAGCGGGAGGGGGGGTGGAGGAAGTGAGAGGAATATTAATGGGGACCTGCTTAATTGGAGGGGGTATGGGTGCGGAAACCTGCTGGGACGTGTGGCCCTAGAAACCGAGTGTCCTTGTGAATCTATGTGTTTATGTCTACATGTATACGTGTTGATGTGTCCTTGTGTGTCTGCCTCTACGTGTTTGTGTGTCTGAGTGTGTCTACGTGTTTGTGTGTCTTTGCATGTGTCTGTTATGTGTGTGTCTACCTCGGCATGTGTCTCCGTTACGTGTTTGTGTGCCCGTGTGTCTGCGTGTCTCTGTTACGTGTATGTGTGCCAGTGTGTCTCTCCGTGAGCTTGTGTCTCTGGGTGACGTGTTGGAGTGGGGCTTCAGATCTGTGTATCCCTGGGTTGGTGGTGCGGGACTTGGTCATGCTTACGGTGGGTGGGTGGGTGGGTAGGTGGGGATAGGATACAACCCGAGGGGTCTCAGCCCTGAAAATCTGGTTGATCCCCAGGACCAGTCGAGCCGAGCTAAAGACTCTTTCCATGGGAAGCGGTCGACGTGTTTACAGCCATATGGGCCCGGGGCGGGGAAGGAAGATGGCCTTTGAGCTCCGGCCAGTCGGCCCTCTGGGAGGTGGGCTTTTGGCGTAAACAAGCCAGGCAAGGCCAAGCGCCTGCTTACCGGAACTCCCAGCCACTGACCTGGCCCAGCTGGGATTTGGGGTCCGGGCCGGGGCCAGGTGCCTGACCTCTCTGGCAGACCGAGCGTTCTGGTCAGTCGGGGCTGGGAGCTTGGGTGCCCGCAGCCTGGGCGAGGAAGGGGGCGCTGCGCAGGAATGCGGCCCTGAGCTGTTTGTGTGTCCAGGTTGCGGGGATGGGGATGGGCACGCTGGGGGCCAGATGGCAGCGACCAAGTGTCCAGTTCCCAGGGTCGGTGTTCGGGGCACGGGCTGGGGCGAGAGGAGAGCAACTAGAGGAAGCCGCTTTTTTTGTGGGGGGAGGGAGGGGGAGCCCTTCCCACTAAACTTCTCCAGATGGCAGGCTGGCAGGCGGCCCGCGGATTGGAATCGTGGGGTTGCGGGAACGCCGCAGCTGGGTTGTTTTGGAGAGAAGTGGTCGGGGAGCTGGGGGCTGGAGGGGAACGAGTCAGTGGGTGCAGCTCGTCTCTCGTGTGCTTGGCCGCTAGCTGTTTTGGTCCTATTGACAGGAGAAGCGGAGAGAGGCAGGGTTACTGTCGGTCATCCTCAGCTCTTTGGGATCAAGGAAAAAAAAGAAGGGGGTGGAAGGAAGGGGCGGGGGGGGGCTGGACACAGCAACAGCCAGCATTTGGTTATGCGCCATCTCGATCGGAACCATTCTGAGCTTCAGGCCCAGCGCTGAACAAGGTGTAATTGACACATACCGTAGGCATTTCGAGATGTTTATTCAGGGAGTGGGAAAGGGAAAAACACACTCACACACATGCACACACACACAACCAGCACTCAGGTGCTCTGTAGCAACCTTTAAAAATAACTTGTGTCTCAGTGACTGAGAAACGCGGTCTCCCCTCCCTCCCCCTCCTGCCTCCCCCCTGCCTCCTCCTCTTCTCTCCCAAGCCTTGAATCGCGGGGCACATTTTGTGCGAAACCCATTCAGGCCCGGGACATTAGCATAGAAATGCCTGGAGCCGCCTTGTGCACTGTGGCTGAATGCCTGGGGGCCCCAGCGAATGCTGGGGGCAAAGGGAACGGGCATTCATCTTGCATAATGACGCCCGAGCAGGATCTGGCCCAGAATGCTTCCAACCCTGCTGACAAACAAGGGGTGTCGAAGTTCAAAGGGAGCCCCGGGCTGTTTGAGCCCCTCTCTTCTCTGCCTCCAAATCTTCCTCTTTCCCAGCCTCCAGTAAAAGGGGATCCCCGGGGCCCTGAGAAGCCTGGAAGAAGCCTGAACACCCCGCTCCAGCCCCCCCCCCCGGATTAGGAACCCAACACTAGCTTGACTGGGCCTTCCCTTCCAGCCCTCATCCAAGAAGGCTGAAATGGATTCCTTCTTATAATGCAGCTTCCAAAAGGACCAGTCATGGCTTATGATAGACAAACAGTTTGGTGAAGACCCTAGGAAGGAAGTGCCCCCAATGTTTTGAGCAGGCTGTGGTGTGTGGGTACTAATGAGATTCTGAGCCATCACCCCCCCCAAAAAAAAGGGGGGGTAGACTTATTTACAGTTGTGTAAGGCTTCTGGTTACTCAAGAAGCCAGGCGGCAGGCCAGTTTTCTGAAGGGTGAGATGTTGCTGAAATGTAGGTGCTAATGCTGTGGGACCTACTGTGCTTTTTGGCATCTGGGACCAAAGTTGATTAGAGACTCTTATTTTGTAAGGAAATCAGACTTCTTCCTCCCACCTCTCCCCCTGAATTTTCCTATGAACCTAATGGTAAGCTTTTGGCTTGAGCTACTTTGATTATAAATTCCTCCTTCCATAGAGGTCCAGTCCCTTAACATCTACTCATCTACTGCCTCTCCCCCCCCCCCATAACCTTGTCTCGCCTGAAGGAACCATTAGGGAAAGTTTTGGAATTATGCCTTGGCTAGGAAAGAAGCTGGGGTTGGTGGAAAGAGAGTAGGCCTGAATGCCAAGAGACCTAGGTTTGCAAGTCTAGGCTTTGCTGTGGACAGGTAACCTCTCTGAACCTGTTTTCTCCTCTGTAAAAGGGAGACTGGACTAGAGAATCCCTAGGGTCCATTCCGTAGAAGGATATGTAGCAACTTCCCTGCCTGTCTCCTGGCACAAAATCCAAACTATAATGGTTGAATCTAAGCAAGTAATTTATGTTTCCTTTTAAATGGAGAAAAGTCTTCCACCTCCTAATGGATTTCCATTTGCTTTAGTCTCCCCCATAATACAATAGTCTGCCTTGCATTCTGTGATGATACCGCAGTGATCTGCAGTTTCCCTTTTCAGCTTGGCATTCCCCTATTCACAAACTGACAGTTGTCCCCACTACTTCAAACCTGAACTCTTTGGGCGGGTATCCAACGTCAGATCTGCCTCTCCAAATTTCACTCTCATTCTTCCCCAGCAAATCCAGAACTGAACACTCATTGATCGACTTCCTCCAGCAGTGTTTTTTCCCCCTCCTCCTTCTATCTTGAGTCCTACAAAGCCTAGTTCAAATCTCACTTCCTCAGGGAACACTTTCTTGTGTCAAATCATAGAATGTTAGAACTAGGAGGATCCTACCTTGGAACACAGGATGTTATTGGTGGAAGGAGCTTTAGCACATAGGAAGTCATAGCTGACTGAGATCCTAGAAGTCATTTTAGACTTAGAAATCATTCTGTACCAGAATGGAAGGAGGCTTTACAGAAGGATAAAGGCAGGGGGTTAACCCAGATGTGTTTTATGAATTCCTTTTGGACTCAGTGATGCTAGGATAAGTGACTTGCCCAAGGTCACATAGAAAGTTCATGACTTCTTTGAGGACTAAAACATGTCTCCTGACTCCTATTCTACGAGTCATTTAACTATAGAGCTTCTCTTTCAGTGAAGAGTCAATGATTTTCCCTTCTGGTTCACCCAATGCCAGTTGATCTTTACAACATATTTGACATTGGATCATGTTCTGTCATATGTTAAGCCATAATTCATGGATCAAGATCAGGAAGGTGTCTCACAGGTATCTTTCCATTTTGCAGATCTGGAAACTGAGGTCCAGACAAGTTCCTGTCTCCAGGCCTTTGCTTGGGAATGCTCAGGCACATCACCTCCCCTTCTTGGCTTCTCTGGCCTCCTCTAAGGCTCAGAACACATCCCCGCTCCTATTACATACCCTTGTCCATCCCTCCAGCTATTAGTGCCTTCCCTTTCCCTATTACCTTCTATCTGTTCAGTTCTTTTTTACCTGTCTCACTCTTTGTGACCCCATTTGGGGTTTTCTTGGCAAAGATACTGGAGTGATTTGCCATTTCCTTCTCCAGCTCATTTTACAGATGAGGAAACTGAGGCAAACAGCGGTAAGTCACTTGCCCAGGGTCACAGAACTAGTAAGTTTCTGAGGTCAGGTCTTCCTGACCTGGGCCCAGTGCTCTAAACACTGTGCCACCTAGCTGCCCACCTTCTATCTACTCTCTGTATACATCTTGTACATACGTAGTTATTATAATGCCTGTTCTGTAAGGAAGGGGATTCTTTTTACCTTTCTTTCTAATAAATACTTATTGATATACCACCCAAGGTCACACAAGTAAGTAAGCATTTGAGGTAGGATTTGAACCTGGGTCTTCAAAGCCAGTACTGTTCTGTGCTGTGAAGATGACAATCTTCTCTCTTTTCTCTCATGCCATCTGATGCTCAGGGCTTGGCAAGCACATAGTAGGAAAACAACAGGTGAATTTCAGGAAAGATGTAATCAGTCTTCATTTCATTTTTCTTACATGTTCAAGTACCGTCATTGAGCCAACGGGCTTCATAGACACAAGAGATTGGTCTGGCCTCATGGCTGACCTGCTCTTTGAAGATCTTAGGAACGCGGATGGGATTAAGAACCAGATGAGGTTGCAGAGATCATCTAGTCCCACCTCATTAATTTGCAGAGAAGGAAACTGAGGCTAAGAAAGGTTAAATCAACTTGCTTGGGATTTGAATGTAGACTTTTAAACCCAAGCCCACCCCACTCCACTGGCCCACAGGCCAACAAGTGGGCTATTTATTTATCGTTAGCTTTTGTTTTTATACCAATCCTTCTTTGCAAATGGTCCACCTCTTTATTAACGATTGGTTAAAAGAATATGTTTTCAACCCAGAGATAGCCGTGCCCACTGGGCCACACAGAGTATTTTATGAGGTCGAGACCTTAAAATGTAACAGCTGTCCAGTGTGGTGACATTACCTAGAGACTGTGATGGAGCCTGAGAAAGTTCTCCGAAGGCTTTGCTACTTTCCAGTTTCCATTTCCGTGAGTGTCACGGACCTGAACAAAACAAAACAACTCTCAACTTTTGTTGAGCTTTTTTTTTTAAAGCCTATTTATTATTTCCATCTGCCAACTGATTAAATTGTTCTTGGGCCCTGACATTTCATTAGAGCCAACACCAGTGTTTTGTGGACAGGCAGAGTCATTCTAGTAATTCAATTGAATATGCAGGTCTTTCTTGAATAGCGGAGACTCATTCGGCCCTAGGATCCAGTACCTGGGTTCAAATCCCATCACTTAGCTTACCATGGATCAATGTAAAGAATACTGCCTTTGAAGTCTGACACAATTCCTGCCCTCCCCTTTATCACACATTTGTCCTTGAGTAAATCACCTTACCTACCGGGCCTCAGTTTCCTCCTCTGTAACATGAGGAGATTGAACTAGATTAGGGCTTCTTAAACTTTTTCCAGATTAGTTTAAACTAGAAGACTTTTAAGATCTAAATTTCCATCCTGTTTTATCTGAGTTAAATGATCTCTCTGGGCCAAGCTAGTTCTAAACCCTCTTAGTACTCCCTTGTGTTCAGTCCTGTCTCTTTTCTAGGTATGTTGGAGATTTGGGAGTTAACCCAAGACATAGTCATCTGTGTACATCAGATTCTGATCATTTTACCTTTTAAGTTGAGGTTGGTTGTGGTGGTGCAAGGAGAGATTAATAGCAATTAACCCATTATCCGCATGAGCAAATTGAGATGCAAGAAGTTTAAATGCCTTGCCCATGTCAATCATCATCATCATCATCATCATTATTATCATCATAAAAGGGATATGAATTTTGAATAATAGAATGCCAGAGCTACCTTAGAGGCAGAATTCTAGCTGTTGTTCAGATAGGTGAACTAAGCCTGGGAGATCAAGTGAATTTTCCACAGTCATGCAGCTAATTGGTGGGAGAACCAGTACTGGAAACCCAGTTTTCAAGCCTTGAAGGATAGATGAGATTGGATAGGCCAAATGAATAAGAAAGAGCAGTGTGGTATAGTTGATGGCATAGCAGTTTGAAAGTTGGCTTGTCCTGTGTCTGAATTACACTTACTAGTTGTGTGACCCCTGGGGAGGTATTTCCTTAAATCTGTGTCTGTAAAGCAGAGGTGATAATGCCTGACCTTCCTACTCCATGGGACAGTCATGAGAAGAAGGCTTTGCAGACTTTAATGCTCTATATCCATGACAGCTGTGATAAGAGGTATGGGGACATATTGGAAAAGACACTGTATTTGGAGTCAGAGATCCTGCTTTGGAAGTCTATCCTGGCTGTGATCTGGGTGACCTTGGGCAAGTCCGGTTAACTTTTCTAGGCCTCTGTTTCCACACGTGTAAAATGAGAGATTTGCCCTGGGTGACCTCAGAGGTCTCTTCCAGCTCTAATGCTAGGATTCTGTGAACACAGCCATGTAGGCTCACTTCAGCTCTTCATTCTAGCCACCTACAATTAGACTACATAGGATCTGAATATGATGGGTTTGAATGAAACCATGTCTGTGGTCCCTTCTCACTCAAGCATTCTGTGTGCCAACTCTGACATTTTATGTTCTGTGGTCCCTTCTAGCACTGACATTCTGTGTTCTAACCTAGTTCTCCAGTTCTTAACAATTTCTGTTCTAAGGTCCTCCCTGGCTCTGACAATCTGTGATTTGGGGTCTTTCTTTGTTAATTAGAAAACATTAACTTTGAAGAGGAACAAGATGGCAGGAAAGCCTGGGTCTGGGTCCTTGTAAGTGGGAGGTAGCCCCAGATTCCATTCTGTACATATTTCATATTGATCACGGGGGGTTGCCGCCGACACAATTACAAATACTTTTGAGTTGTCCTGGGGGGAAGAGGGCTTGCTTCTATCTCACCCAGAGATAAATTCTAGAGAACTAGTGGGACCTTATAGCAATTCTAACAAATGACTCTTTGATAGCTCTTTAGGTTTTAGAAATTACTTTCCTTACAGTAGCCCTACTGGATTGTACTACTTTCTTTACAGTAGGCCTCCTGGATTGTACAACCATCATCACCCTCATTTTAAGGCAGAGGAAACTAGAGATGAGAAGTGACTTACCCAAGGTCACACAGTTATTCAGTATTAGAACTCAAGTCTAAGTCTCTTGATTCCTGGTCCAGGGTTCTTTCTGCTATGTGTGGGCCTAGATCTTCCATCGGTCTCCTTTGGAAACAGTTCATTAGGATGCTTGTTAGGACTGATGAAGGGGGCTTTGTCACTTTCCATCATACAGCACAAGTTTCATGTGCATGCAGCCAAAGTCGGGTAACCTTAGAAGCTTTGGCCACAGATGAAATGCATTCTCCTTTCCCCTCCTTCCCTCCCCCCATTCGAGCCTTGATAAACAAGACAGCTGCAGTGCTTTTGAAGGGGCAAAGTTCTTCTGAGAAATAGCACTTCTGACCAAGCTGGTTCTTGTTGACTCTGTAAAGAGGAGAGAAAAGCCAGTCCAGTGTCAGGCCACCAGCAAAATGGCAGTCAGTGGGAGGGAGTATGGCCCTGATCGATAATGGGTTACTGTAGGATACTGGCAAGGATCATAGTGGGTTGGAACAGGAAGGGACCTTACAGATCATGCATTGCCACCTTTTCTGTATCATGGACCCCGTTGATAGTCTGGGTAAGCCTCTTCTTAGAGTGACAGAATATTTTTAAATACATAAAATAAAATACATGGAATTACAAAGGAAATCAATTTTATGGAAATGCAGTTACCGAAATACATATATAAGCATGCGAATTTACAGATCCTAGGTTAAGAGCCCTTGAATTCTAGCCCAGCCGTCTTATTCTGCAGAAGAGGTATGTGTGGTCCAGAGAAAGAGTTTTGCTTAAGGTTTGTGACCTTCATGGGATCAGAACCTAGGCTTCAGGACTTTCAGACTTCAGCTTCTTCCTCTATGTTATGCTAATTCTCATTGGGAAGGTACCTCACTTGTGAGGTTGATGCCAACACGGTCTTGCCAATGCCTTTTTGTCTTGCCTTTTTGCTTCCTTGCTGAGGATACCATGAGGATCCCTGCATTCCCTAGGGCTGGCCTTGCAAGCATGAAATCCATGATTTATGTACATAGATGACTCCATGATCCTCAGTCAGGTAGAATACCTGGTCTACCGGGATGTTCCTTTCCCTCCGGCCATTTTGAATGGCTGTGTATTCTGCATATTCATTGTACCTTTCCCGGAGAATTCTGGGAAGGAGCCCTTGTCTGCAACCCAACGGGCCCAGAGTTGTGAAATGCTTTTGGAAAGGGCTCTTTTGCAAACAGGTGGTGCAATCTTGGAAAATGCTTAGGCAGACACAATTCACCAACGATAGAGCTCTAGCCGAGCATGTGGCAATATTTGAACTCCCAGCCTGCCTTCTCCGACTAGGCTTGCTGGAGTGAGCACTTTGACCTATAGCTTGACTCTTCTGCCTCTCTGTCCCTTCTCTGCAGGTTTGCATCTGACCTTGAGACCTCGTGGTATATGCTGGTGGGCATCCCAGAAGCCCTGTTCTAGGAATGGTGGATCACTTGCTCCCGGTGGGGGAGTCTTTCTCAACCACCAAGTTCCCCATTGGTTACCTGGGGGACATGCCGGCTGGCGGGCGGGCATACCACATGCTGCCCTCTCCATTGTCAGAAGATGACAGTGACTCCTCAAGCTTCTGCTCCTGCTCCAGCCCTGACTCTCAGGTCCTAGGCTCCAGCTACGGGAGCACATCGAGCATCGAGGGCCAGGACAGCATCTTAGACTACCTGCTGTCCCAGGCAACACTGGGGGGCAGTCCTGTGGCCTGGTGGGACTGGCGGCGGTGCCAGCCCATGGTGAAAGAGGAACATTTCCGGTTCCCGGACCCAGAAGACATGGGGCCATTCCAGCCCACCTTGGAGGAGATTGAGGAGTTCTTGGAGGAAAACATGGATCTGGAGCTCAAGGAAGGGCCTGAGAATGGGACCAAAGACCTTCGCGTTTGCAACCAGCTCTCTTCTGGGCAGCATAAAGACCACATCCTGCCGGGGGGCATCTTGAAAGAAAGCAAAACCCCCCAGTCTGGCAGCTCAGTGGAAGGTGCCCACAGTTCAAATAGTCCAACGGCCACAGAGGGCGGGATCCCCGTCATACTCCAGATCCAACCCATGCAGATCAAACAAGAGTCAAGCACGGGTCCCAGTTCGCCGGGCCAGAGTGCGGACAACATTAAAATCGCCCAGCTCCTCGTCAACATCCAGGGGCAAACCTTTGCGCTGGTGCCACAGATTGTCCAGTCCTCCAACTTGAACTTGCCTTCCAAGTTTGTGCGGATCGCCCCAGTCCCCATTGCGGCCAAGCCCATTGGGCCAGGTGGCATGGTGCCGGGCCCCGCAGGGATCCTAGTAGGCCAGAAGTTTCCAAAGAACCCAGCGGCGGAACTCATTAAAATGCACAAATGTACTTTCCCTGGCTGTACGAAGATGTATACCAAGAGCAGCCACCTTAAGGCCCATCTGCGGAGGCACACAGGCGAGAAGCCTTTTGCGTGCACGTGGCCTGGGTGTGGTTGGAGGTCAGTATCCTAGGGTGGCATGGGTACCACTGCCTATGGTGAGATGGGCCTGTTATTCCAATCCTAGCAGACAAGCGCTGTGCTTTTTCCAAAAATAAGACACTGTAGAATAAGGCTGCCCATTGGTTTCAATCAATTCCTCCTCTCCAAAAGAGAAGGGTGGAGCATGGAGGGGAGAATCTCAAAGCCAAGTGGTACTACCCTCCAGAAGTTGGCACAAGGCACCTAGAGCTATAGCTATATGTATGTGGGCTTCTGCCACACCGGTTTCCAAAGCAAGAAACCAACTGATTTCCAGTTTCCTAACAACTGGGTGAGGCTTGCTGTGGCTTGCTATGTGTTTGTGCTCACTTTAGTCTCACTGCAGTAGGAGTTTGCTCTGTGGAGAGCTGAGGTGGACACCTTAGGGAACTGGGCAATGGGTGTGGAGTTGCCCAAGTTATGACCAGGCTATGTCCGGGATCCCCAGCCGTTGTTGGAAAAGGGGCAAAGTTCATCAGTCAGTCAACCGATCAGACCAATATTTACTGAGTGCCTACTGTGTGCAAGGCCCTGGTCTGTATTCTGGGGGGGGGGGGTTAGTGTGGTGTGGAGAGGGTCAGGAATAGGCTGAGGGAGGGGCACAGAGATCAATGCGTCATAGCTCCTTCCCTTTGAGGATCTAGTAGAGACAGAGAGGACAAGATGGCCAAAAGTATAAGGCATTGTAGACTCAGTTATTAAGCTGACACCATAGATTTATCAACTGTTGGACCTGGAAGGGACCTTGTACTTCCTGGTTGGTTTTTTTTTTTGGTGCGGCAATTGGGGTTTGGTGACTTGCCCAGGATCACACAGCTAGTAAGTGTCAAGTGTTTGGTCTGAGGCCGGATTTGAACTCAGGTCTTCCTGACTTCAGGGCCGGTGCTCTATCCGCTATGCCACCGAGCTGCCCCCTGAGACCTCATGCTTCTTTTCCAATGCCCCTGTTTTATAGATGAGGAAACTTGAGGCCCAAAGGGATGTGACTTGTCCAAGGTCACCCAGCTAAGTAGCAGAGCCAGTACTCAAACTCCAGGCTACTGATTCCATGTCTGATGCTCTTTTTACTAGAGTTTTAATTCCATCATTTTACAGAAGAGGAAACAAATTTATTTATTTATTTTGGGGGGGGGGCAGGTAGGCAATGGGGTTAAGTGACTTGCCCAGGGTCACACAGCTAGTAAGTGTTAAGTGTCTGAGGCCAGATTTGAACTCAGGTCTTCTCGAATCCAGGGCTGGTGCTGTATCCTCTGTGCCATCTAGCTGCCCCAAGGAAAGAAATCTTGAGGGGAAAAAAGGATAAGGTCACCCTGGAAATGAACAGCCTGGCTGAAACTACATGCCAAAGGTCAAATGACTAGCATAGATTCTGAGTGCATTAGGATAGAGGTCAGAGGATCATAGAGAGTGGGAAGGGGTGTTAGAGGTCACCTAATCTAACCCTTCATTTTTAGGTAGGCAAGAAAACTAATCCCCAGAGAGGTTAGGCGACTTGCCTAAGGTTAGCAAAGATCAGAGGCAGGTTTTGAACCCAGGCCTTCTACCCTCAGAGCCAATGTTCTTCACACTGGACTTGCTACCTGGGCTGGGCTAATCAAGGAAGGCTTCATGGAAGAGGTGGAAACAGGGTGAATGGTTGGCCAAGACTCTGGGTGTTCTCCCTGTCCCAGAGGGAAAGTCACTGGGTCTCAGGAGCCGAAGAGTCACACTCCGTGACCTCCAAGGTCCCTTCTAGGTCCAAACCTCTTACATGAAAGGCCCGTGATAACTGAACATCCCCAACATGTCCACAGGTAGTAGCACAGGCCACTCCTTGTCCTGCTGGAATCAGTCAGCATGCTGGAGCAGGGCCCTTGCTGGGAGGGGATTGAACTTTTTGTAGGGAGGCGCACTAAAGAAATTCCAAGCATACCTAAAGGGTTAGGCTCATCTAGTCAAACCTCCCTTCATTTTACAGAATAGGAAACTGAGGTCTGGGAAAGGGAAGCGAATTTCCCAGTAGCATCGCCAGGACTAGAGTTCAGCTGTCTTCAGGCCTATTTCAGTCATCAGCGTTTATCATGCCAGCCAGGGCTGTGAGCCATGCCCGGCCCAAACCTTGCTTAGTAGCAGCCAGCTTTCCTAACTTGGAATATTGTGGGGCCTGTCTTGGTGGTTGGGCTTGGAAGATCTTGTGATTGTGTGCTGAGGAAGGAGAGATATTTTTCCCACCCTCCAGGCACCAGAATTCCAGGGTTCTCAGCCTACTAGTAGCCTTAGGCAAACCAAACTCTGAACAGCTCCTAAATCATTCAGCAAAAAGAAAGTCTCTACCTTTTCCAAAAGTTCATCATCCTCTCCAGGACTTCACAGGCATCATGCAGTCCCAAAGCCCATGTTCTTTCTTGGTATAGGTCACACCACAGGAATTTCTAGCCTGTAAGAACTGTTCCAGGCCCTTGCTGTGGTGTGTGTGTGTGTGTGTGTGTGTGTGTGTGTGTGTGTGTGTGTGTGTGTGTGTGTGTGTATTTGGGGGGGGGAGTGTGCAAATCATTTTCTCTTTGTTAATAACCTGCTTGTCCTTCAAGTTCTTGGAAATAGTAACCCTCTGGGGTCCTCAATGGAATTTGTGGCAGTGTTGAGCCCTTGGATGGAAAGGGGTGTGTATGTATGTGTGTGTGTGTGCCCCTGCTAAATTGTTAAAAGTCAGAAGCAGTACTAAACCTCTACAGCCTGCCCTGAGGGAGAGCACTTATGCTGAAATGAAGACTCGGCCTGTTTCCATTTAGGGCACACATTTGGCCCAAAGAGGTGGAACTTTTAAAAAACAATGTCTGTGATTATAAAGGCCCTTTCTGAATGATTACACTTACCCATGACCTTCTGCCACTTCCCTGTAAGCTACTGGTTTAACAGAGATCAGGAATGGCTGTTTTCCAAATTCCCTGGGCACAGAATGCAAGAGAGTTGGAGAAAAATCTCTAGTGATCTGGCACACCCTGCTACCTCACCTCCCCCCTACTCTTCCCCTAATGTGGGCGTGAGTATATTCCAGAGATATAAAGCTCACACTTGCAGTCTAATCCTGGAATGGGCAGAGCTAGAAGGGAACTTTGAGATCTTCTGGTCCTCGCACATCATTTACTAGGTAGGAAAACAGGTGTAGAGAGAGGAGGTAACCTGTTCAAGGTCACACAGTTTGTCAATGGCAGAGCTGCCATTCAGGTCTTCTCTTTATTGTCCTATCACCACCCGTCAATCCCAAGTTAGGCCTTTTGGTGTGCATATACCACTTCCCTCCTGCAGGAAGGCAACAAAGAACAGTGAACCCAGTGAGGGTAGTTGTGTGCTTTATTCCTACCTTGACCTTTTGGGGAGACAGGATCTAGATGATAGATATGAAACCTTAAAGGCATTCTAGTCCAATGCTTTCATTTTGTCAATGAGGAAGGGAGCTTAGAGAGGTTATGTGACTTGTACAGAGAGTAAGGGCTGGAGCCGAGATTTGAACTCAGGTCCTGACTCCCAACACTTCATCGCACCACTTTAGCATCCTCACCTACAAGAGTTATTTGTGTTCAAATGTCTCCTTTTGAATTCCTCTTTTTGCTGTGGCTTCAGATCTGACAGTGAGGGTTTGGGATGGCTCCCATGACACACGTTATTGCTTGCTCATTTGAATGAGTGTTCGTTTGGAAAGGTGCTTATTGCTCATAGAAATTTGACCTGTGTTTAGGGTGCACTGCCACCAGGTGGTGCCTCGGGTTTGACCTCATGATCCAAGGAACCCAGTTGTTTCTTCATAGGCGTGGTTAACTTGGAGATATGGATAAGTGTGTCTTTATTTAAGTTTGAAGTATAACTATAAAATCAGAGGTTTTCAAGCTTTTGGTGAAAAGGAACTACTTTACCTAAAATCCCTGAGATTAAGCAGGAAAATGGAATACATAGAAAATTTAACCCTTTCCCTTTGAGGAAATCATCCCCCATTGGTGACATCCAATAATGATAATAATAATAATAATAATGATAATAATAATAGCTAATATTTTTATAACACTTTATGAAGTGCTTTTCATGCTTTTGTCTCAAAACAATCTTTGGAGGGAGATAGGCGTTAGCTCCATTTTACAGAAAGGAAACTGAGTCTCAGAAATGTGAAATGGCTTCTCCAAGATGGCCCAAGATGTTAGTAGAGCTAAGACTTGACCCTAAGTCTTCAGATTCCACATCTAGGGCTCTGTCCAGTACATGACTTTTGCCTGAGGGAACATGGACATGAAGCCAGTGTGGTTGGATCCCACAGCTTCTCCTTGCTGAGGAATGCTGGGTAATAAAGTTTCTGCTGCCAATGAGGATTGAGGCACCTGTCTAGATTGTTTTCACAGAGGCTGGTACTGAAGAAAGAATTGTTTTCAGCCTTCACTGCTTGACAGCTGTGATCTGGGCAGTCAGCACCAAGGTGAAACTCATCATCAGATCTAGGATTAAACCAATATCTGGTCTAACCCTGGCTGTCTGTAGGCAAGCCACTTAACCTCTAGGCCTCAGTTTCCTCATCTATAAAATGAGCTGGTTAGTTTAGCTATTCTTTATGACGCTTTCCAGCTCTATTGTGGTGTGCTGTAAGTTAAAGGAGACAGATTAAGAAAACCCTTTCTTACAGCTAGAACTGTCCAGAAATAGAATAGATCTCTTTGTGAGGTAGCAAGTTTCCCTTCATTGGAATCATTAAGGCAGAATGGGATGGTGCCATGTTGGGGTGCCATAGTGAGATTCCTGTATTAGAGGTCAGGACCGAATGATGCCTCCTCAAACTAGGAGGTGGTTGTCCTTTTTTATGAATGGTCAGGACCATTGATGTCTCCTCAAAGTAGGAGGTGGTTATCTTTTTTCATGAATGGTCAGAACTATTGATGTCTCCTCAAAGTAGGAGGTGGTTATCTTTTTCCATGAATGGTCAGGACTATTGATGTCTCCTGAAAGTAGGAGGTGGTTAT